TATTTTTATGAAAAATACCAGTTACACCAATTGACACAACCCAGTGTCATTTGGTGTAATTGGTATTTTTTCATAAAAATATGATTATATACAGGAAAATAAATGTGGAGTAAAATGTGGAATAAACATAATCCACTTTTGCAGTGCAACACTTTTTTAATTTTACATAATTTGTCACGCGTTATTTAGATAAAAAGGGGTGTTTTCAGGAAATGTCCTGCTCAGTATTGCCAAAATGCATTAAAATTTAAATATAGAAATTCTCCAAAAATATCTTATTTCAATTTAATGCTCATCTTGCCAACCCTTATTTGTCACTGACCCATATTCGTATTTATTATTTTATTATTTAACCAGTACTCGTGCTCAGCTTGTGATTAGTTCGCACACACACACACACACACACACACACACACACACATCTGTACACACCCAGCTGCTAAGGGATGGGACCCACCCAGAATGGTTGGCATAGGGCAGGACAGTCCTGATCATGAAAGACCCCCAGAAGGGAACCATCCCATCCAACTACAGACCATTAACCTGTCTCTCCATAACATGGAAGCTCCTGTCAGGCATCAATTAGGCATATGGTCCAATACATGAGTAAGGCACAGAAACGAATTGGCAGTAACACCAGAGGAGCCAAGCACCACCTACTGGTTGACAGAGCAATCGCCCGAGACTGCAAGAGCAGGAAGACCCACCTGTGCACCACGTGGATTGACTACAAGAAAGCCCACGACTCAATGCCACACACGTGGATACTGGAATGTCTAGAACTATACAAGATCAACAGGGGCCGGTTGCACCAACTGGTCTTTACTAAGCCTGGTTGTAACTCCTAAGACGGTCTTTGTTAAGGCCAGTCTTAAGGAGTGGACTTACGCCGGTTGCACCAACAGGGCTTACGCCTGGTCTTAGCTACGCTGGTTTTAGCTGTGCGCGTCCATGTGAATGCCCCCTGGAATGCCGCACCTGGCCTGCCAAGAGGAGCGCGGTGACGTCAAATGACGCGCCACGGATTCACCCCGCGAGCTTGACAGTTGACAGTTGACAGCCCGTTTAATCTGTGTTGACAGTTAATTTAATTTGAAGAAAACATGGAGGATCAATGAAAAAGAAAGGGTAACTTCACCGACATAGAAATTAGAAAAGTAATTGAGCTATACAGCCAGCACAGAGACGTGTTGCAGGAGAGGGACTGCCAAGCAGTCAAACGTCATCACGAATAAGAAGAAACAGTCGCTATGGGCAGAGATAACAGGGATAATCAATACATGTTCAGACTCTGGCTGCCTTCGTACAGAGGCTGACATTAGAAAAAAATGGAAAGATCTCCTCAGCAAAGCCAAAAAAGACGTCTCCTCCAAAAAAACCCATCCAACTGGCGGGGGTCCTCCCCAGAAAACCTCGATTTATAGCGACATCATTGTCGACGTATTTGGGGAGGACTCCCCTGCCTTCACTGGTTTGGATGGCATTGAAAGTGGCAGCAGTCCAGCAATCAGTCCACCACCATCACTGGACAAGCCAGAGGCAGAGCCAGAGGATGTTCTCCACCTTCATGAGGAGAGCAGTGTTTGCGAAGGTGTGGATTCTACATAAAACTATATCTATTTAGCTAGGGTGCTTGTTATTCTTGTTTTTTTTACCAAAGTAAAAAATACAGGGCCGAATTCACAAAATATGAACTGCGGCCGCTGATAGCACCCTGAATTGCACTTCACTTGCACCCGCAGTTTGCTCCGTCTTAACGTCCTATTCACAAAGGATATTGCGCTAATGATAGGCCTATACCAGCACAAACACGCCCACAAAGTTTGGCAGCTGAGTGCAGTTTGCCCCTGATTTGCCCCTGATTGCAGTTAGCCACATGGCAAAGTATAAATGCCGGCTTTGCGCCAAGAACACCGTGACAGAACAATGGCAGACTTTGTTTGGCAAAGTACTGAATACTGTATACCCTCATGTAGTGATGTCTGCTGGTGAGTTAGTCTAACAGTGTCAGATGGGTTGAGGCTGTGGATTTGACCAAGTTTGACCACTTTATCACTATTCCCTCTCACTTGTAGCTGTTTTTTCGTTATCTTTTGAATTTAATATGAATTATGGAACCGTTTTTGTTCACGTTTGTTTCCCCCGTTTCGTAAAATAAATTATTGAAAGTTGCTTTTGAAGTGCGTGACAGAAGTGCGTTTTGAGAACGGCCGCAGACTGTCACCTGTTCAACGCATCAATATCTTGGGATGCCATTAAAGTAATAATGATTACAATAATAATAATAATGATGTCAAAATATTATTTACAGACTGATTTAACAGACGACTGCTGCCACGATCGCTGGAAAGTCTGGGCGAGAGGCTTCCACAGAGGAGCGCCCAGTTTGCACCAGCTTTCTAAAGACATTATTTACTTCACTCAAACTGCGTGTGGCTATTAGCGCTGGTACTGGTATGGTGAATTAGACGTGGTTTATCAATGAGGCTCATTTGCATAGAAATGGGCAATTTTTCCGCCAAATATATGCATATTACCTCATTTCAATACGTGCAAATAACACCGGAGCACCGAGACGCAATCTGCTTGGCAGCGCAGTTAGTGGAGCATTTCACCCTCTGCGCGTGCTTTGTGAATTAGACGGTATCTGTTTGCTCCATTTTTACCAGTTTAGCGGCCGCAAAAGCCACGCAATCCTTTTGTGAATTCGGCCCACAGTGTTATAGGCATAATAAAAGCAAAAACAAAACAGAAATGTTCAAAAAGGAGTAGGAGTCAAACTGAGGCTATATATTCCTGCCCCTTTGTCACTTTTTCTTCTATTAACTTAAATTTATAGAGGAAAATAGGCTACTTATAATGCATTTCTAAATTATTTACAAACCGGAAATTCACCTTGTGAAACTAAATAAATGCTATTTTCCCTAATTAGCCTACTTATTCACTTTCAGACTCAAGCGATGCCAGTGCCACTCATGCCAGCAGCCAGGCACCACCACCACCAAAAAAAAGGAGCAGGCGGGATGATCTTCAACAGGTGCTGCTGGAGAAAGAAATAATCATAGTGGAGATGGAGACCAAAAAAATTACAGACAGAGCAGGAGAAGTTAGAGCTAGAAAAAGAAAAAATTAAATTAGAAATTCAGTTGCTCCAGCAACAACGTAATATGCCACTCTCTTCGCCTGCACATATGTTGGAAGAGGGGGCATGGACCTATGTGTAAAATGAATTTGAATTTCTTGTATGTTGTATTGTTCTCCAGTTAAAAAGAGAAAAAGATCAACTATATTTGTTACGTTGTATTGTTATTGCTTGTTGTTTCCCCAGTTAAAAAGAGAAAAAATATCAATTTTATTTTATTTAACATTTATTAATCAACCACATGAACTGTAAACAATAAAGAATTTATTTGCAAAAAATGTAGGCCTATATGCATTCCTTTCTGTCGTAGGCTAGGCTATTTGTTTTAGAGACAACGAGCAGACATTTAGATGGGAATTATGCAATTGGGAAAGAAGCAATACATTGGAAATGGTCAAATGACAAGGAGCTGATTAAGATGTTTTGAAACTGTAAGAGAGGTCTGTCTGAAACTTATTATAAGGTGTTAACAATTTGTGTGTGGTCTAGTCAGTCACCGATGTCCCCATGCACTGCTGGGACCACAGGCTGCAGACCATCCTCCTCCTGCACCGGCTGATGGTCCTGCCTGGGGAGAGGGATCCTCTTGGTGACACAGATGTTGTGGAGGACCGTGCACGCAGCTATCACGGTGCAGACTCTTTCAGGACGCATCCGCAGCTCCCCGTGAAGGCAGTGAAACCTAAAACACAGATTATAGGCTGTCTCCATGTTCAGCTACATAACTGTTTAAAGTATTCAGCATTTGAAGACATGGAATTCATAGCCTATTATTATTATTATTATTGTTATTGTTATTGTTATTATTATATATTTTATTTAGGCTAATTTGTTCATTTTTAAGATAGCCTATGCAGCTTACCTGCGCTTGAGGACGCCTATGCATCGCTCAACAACTGACCTAGTTGCTGAGTGGATGGTATTGTAGCGCCGTTCTTGGTCAGTCCTTGGAGCAATGATAGGTGTCATCAGCCAGCGTTTCAGTGGGTAGCCGCTGTCACTGAGGAGCAGCCCGTTCACCCTACCAGCCTCGAAGTCCCGGTACAGCGCACTCTCCCAGAGGATGCGAGCGTCATGTGTGGATCCAGGCCATCTTGTCACCAAATTAAAGATCTTATAATTGGCGTCACAAGCAATCTGTACATTGATAGAATGATATCCTTTGCGGTTAACAAAGAGATATTCATGCTGAGATGGTGCCTGGATCTTGACATGGGTCCCATCAATGCAGCCCACGATTCCCGGGATGCCGGAGGCCTGGCGGAACCGTTGCTTCATCCCCACTGCCTCTGCCTCGGTGGGAAGGTGAACATGAAGCTCAAGGCAGCGGCTCAGTGCCAGTGACACTCTGCGGATGGCCCGACAGGCAGTAGATTTGTGGACACTGATCATGTCCCAGACGATATTTTGGAAAGCAGTCAGCAACTGTAAGGCCGGTGGCAGTGCTGCGTTACGGCCCGACACGAACCGTAAATCCGGTGACAGCTCTTCAATGAGTTCAAACAGATCTCTCCTACCGAATCGAAACCTCTCAATCAGCTCCTCGTCATTATAAATATCCAATGGATTGCTTCTGTCCCTAATTACTCTCTCCCGTCTAAATGCCCACTCGTTGTAGAGATGGTGTATGAGACGTGCCATTGTCAAGCTGCGCTCTCTGCACTCTAGAGCGCATGAGCGCAGCTTGATAATGACCTTACGCCTGCTCTTGACTAGGCGTAAGATTTACGCCCGGTCTTAGTGAGAGGAAGGCTTAAGCCCTGTTGGTGCAACCGGCTAACTATTAGGTCAGACTTAGAACGCCAAGTTACGACCGACTTAGCTTAAGACCAGGCTTAAGACCAGTTGGTGCAACCGGCCCCAGGACACTAACAGCCTTCATAAAGAACTCCCTGGGAATGTGGAAGACAACCCTAGAGGCCAACTCAAAGCCGACTGTCCAAGTCAACATCAAATGCTGCATATACCAAGGGAATGCACTGTCACCACTGCTGTTCTGCATAGGCCTGAATCCCCTTAGTCAGATCATCAAGAAGACTGGCTATGGATACCGATTCCGAAGTGAGGCAACAATAAGCCAACTGCTCTACATGGATGACATCATGCTGTATGCCAATAATGAGTGAGAAATCGACTCACTGATCCACACCACCAGGATCTACAGCAAGGACATAGGGATGTCATTCCAATTAGACAAGTGTGGCCGGACGGTATCAAAGAGAGGCAAGATGATCAGAACTGAGGGAGTTGACCTAGTAGAGGGCAACATAAGAGTTATCCAGGACAGCTACAAGTACCTTGGGATCCCGCAGGCTAATGGAAATCATGAGAAGGCCGCAAGGAAGTCGACCATGACCAAATACCTCCAGAGAGTAAGGCAAGTCCGTAGAAGTCAGCTGAATGGTCAGAACAAAGTCAGAGCCATCAACATGTACGCACTGCCAGTCATCAGATACCTAGCTGGGATCATAAGCTGGCCAACGGGGGAGATAGAGGCCACAGATATCAAGACAAGAAAGCTCCTCACAATGAATGGAGGGTTCCACCCCAAGTCCAGCACCCTGAGGCTATACACTAAGCGGAAAGAGGGAGGCCAAGGACTAGTGAGCATCAGAGCCAATATCCAGGATGAAAGATCCAAAATCCAGGAGTACATCAAGAAGATGGCCCCAAAGGATGAGTTGCTAAGTGAATGCCTCAGGCAACAGAAACCTGATGAGGCAAAGAGGTGGAGGAGCAAACAACATGGAGGGACAAGCCCCTACATGGTACATACCACCGTCAGATAGAGAAAGTGGCTGATATCAAGAAGACCTACCAGTGGCTGGAGAATGCTGGACTGACAGACAGGCACAGAGGCACTAATCATCACAGCACAAGACCAGGCCCTAAACACAAGGGCCATAGAGGCCAGGGTCTACCGTAGCAGATCAGACCCAAAGTGAAGGCTGTGCAAAGATGCCCCTGAGACTGTCCAGCACATAGTGGCAGGGTATAAGATGCAAGCAGGATCAGCGTACATAGAGAGGTACAACCAAGTGGCTGGGATAGTATACAAGAACATCTGTACCCAGTATGGACTCAAATTAATCAAATCCTGATGGGACACATCACAAAAGGTGGTTGAGAACAACAGGACTACGATCCTGTGGGACTTCAGCTTCCAGACTGACAAACAGCTGCTGGCTAACCAACCGGACATAGTGGTGGTTGACAAACACCAGAAGAGGGCAGTGGTAGTAGAAGTGGCGATACCAGCCGACAGCAACTTCAGAAAGAAGGTACACGAAAAGGTGGAGAAGTATCAAGGGTTGAGAAAACAGCTGGAACAGATGTGGAAGGTAGTAGGAGCACTCGGGGCAGTGACCCCCAAACTGGGAGAGTGGGTCAGCAGATTTCAGGAACAACATCTGAAGCCTCAGTCCAGAAGTGCGCAGTCCAAGGAACAGCTAAGATACTGTGCAGGACCCTCAAACTCCCAGGCCTCTGGTAGAGGACCCGAGCTTGAGGATGACACAAATACCACTGTAAGAGAGTGAGAGAGTGATTTAAAAAAAAAAAAAAATACATATACATATACAGTACAGGCCAAAAGTTTGGACACACCTTCTCATTCAATGCGTTTTCTTTATTTTCATGACTATTTACATTGTAGATTCTCAC